TTATTTTTTTTTTAGATGAAGATGAATCGCTATACCTACAGCAGCATGTATTAATTCTAATACATTGCAGGTTGAACAATAATCTACATTTTGCTCTAGCTTATCAAGAAATTTAACACCAAGTTTTGCTGCTATACTATATAAACCGTATCTGCTAAATGTAGCAATTAAAGCACTACATATAGCTTCCGAAGTGTGCCACTGCCCAAGAATAAATCGGCAAGTTAAATTTTCATTTTTATACGATTTAGTTCTTTCAAAAATAGCGGCATCACATGCTAAATCAATGATATCTTGACCAAGATCTTTTAAAAACATGTCAATTGACTCGAATATGGCTTTATTACCGTTAGGTGCTGGCCCAAGTTCTAGTATAACAAGATTTGGTGGGTTTACTCGATATTCTGACTCGATATTAGCAAATATTTTTGCATCAATCTCTTTAATGCCGAAGTTTCTTTCATTTTTATTTAATAGTTGTCTTATTATTTGATCAAATTTTATTTCCTATTCAGTTGTAAATTCTGATTTACAGAACAAATTTTTTTGAGATTCCAGATCTTGATGTTCTTGAGCAAGACTCAACAATTTAAACGGAAGTTCAAACTAAAATACTAGTCTTAGAGTGGCATGTGCAGATCACCTTGTGACATCATAAATATTTTCATATTGAAAAACAATATCCTTGAAATCAATATTATCAATTACTGCAACATTCCAAATATTTGGTCTTTTTATTAATTTTGTTAATGGATTATATTTACTAACATGCTCTTTTTCTAATACTGTTTCGTGTTTCCATGTGTAAGATGTTATATATACCGAATGAAGTATTGCTTGCAAGGAAGAAATTAATTTTGGTCGCTTGCATAAGGAAGTCATAGTAAAAGTGAGCCATATTTTCCATGAACGAAAGGTGATTATTAAAATAATTGATGCAAAAAATGCTGTTATTTTTTTTATTAGTTCTTTATGAAATTTTGATTCTTTTTGTCTACGCTGTTTTTGTTTTCTTTTTCTAACTCTTCTTTATATTTTTCAATAGACCCAACTAATCTATCAAAAAAGTTAGTAAGCGCTAAAAGAAAGCTATTATCAGTCAGGGAAGATGTCATATAGTCACATATGTAAGTGTCTGATCATAGTAAAAATATAGATCACATTTCAGAAATTTACTATGAAATTTTTTATTTGCTTTTAAGTAAACCACATGACTCTTGAGAGATACAAAAATATTATTATAAGTAACATTATTTTACAAGTTTTTTTCTATTAATAGCGAAAATTTGAATCAAAACCTATATGTAAATGGAAAAGAATTTTGGACTCAAAGATTGATAATCTTTTGAAATTCCAACTCTAACAAAAATATAAAGAATCTTTAAAATGCAGTAACTAGCCAGTTCTTACGCGAAAGTTTTGGAATTAGATCACTGCTTTGTTATAATTACACTTCTCCAAACCACTTTTGCCAAGATTTGCTCAATACTATAGGTAAAATCTTTTAAGTTCTTTAAGATCTTACAGGTAATGATCAAACATTACCAAAAGCTAGTCTAATATTTCTATTTTTCTTTCTTATACTATGTTTTTTTTTCTTTTTCTCATCTGAAACTGAAAATCACTTTTTTTTGTAGGCTTGAGTTTCGAATTTGCATTAGACATTTGAAATTGGGCATGGTAAGAACTGATCTAAAATAGTTCTGTTTTTATATGTTCATTTTTTTTCTTAGTTGAAACCAATTCTTTTTTTTGTAGCAGGTAGCTCTTTGCTGGCATGAAAAGCATCTATGTATATATATATTTTTTTGTTTTATTTCTATTGAACCTAATTTTTTTTGTAGATTTAGCTTTACTGTGAAGTTAGTACTAGACAAGCAGCTGAGAACTTGGAACTGGTTAAATTACAAGTGCCAGATTTTTTTTCTGTTGCATTATTATTTTTCTTTTTGGTTGAAGCTAACTCTTTTTTTGTAGATTGGGTTTTGACGTGAGATTAGCATCAGGCAATGGATTGGGATATCAGATATGGTTAGAATTTGAAACTAGTCTAATTACAAGTACCAGTTTTATTTTCTCTTGTTCAATATTTTTTTTTCTTTTATTTTGGTTGAAACTAATTTTTTTTTTAGGATGGGTTTCAATATGAAACTAACACCGGGCAATAAAATTGAACATGATTAGCTTGGAATTGTCTAATTATCAATTTTTTCCTACTGCACTATGTTATTTTTCTTTCTTTTTTGGTCGGAACTAATTTTTTTTTGTAGGTTAGGTTTCATATGAGATTAGCACCAGGAATTAGACATGCTGTGACTTGGAACTGGTCTAATATAAGTATCAGTTTTGTTTTGCATTTTATTTAATAGTTGTCTTATTATTTGATCAAATTTTATTTTCCATTCAGTTGTAAATTCTGATTTACTGAACAAATTTTTTTGAGATTCCAGATCTTGACATTCTTGAGCAAGACTCAACAATTCAAATGGAAGTTCAAACTGAAATACCAGTCTTAGAGTGGCATATGCAGATCGCCTTGTGATATCATAAATATTGCCATATTGAAAAACAATATCCTTGAAATCAATATTATCAATTACTGCAACATTCCAAATATTTG